TTCCAAAAACTACCTCCGTTAAACAAACAATCAAACTTATAAACTTTATTTGTTTAAATTATTTATATACATTTATTGACCTAGACCTAATACTAAGTCAATTGTTAAGTACCACATATGTGATAGTTAAACCTTCGTTGTTTCATATTTTCGTAATTCAGATGCTTTAGCTACTTAAATTGGAATCTAAGGATGTATGTGATGTTGTCTTATATTAATTAATTGCCTTTTTATAATTATAAAAGGAATAAATCCGTATGGATTTACTTTGATTAACAAAGTATAAATGGTTTCATTTATCTGAATATTTTGTCTAAACGTAAAATTCCCCAACAAGTGAGAATTAGGCGATGTTTTAATATAAAATATTAAATGGATAAAACTTGATATCAACAAATATTTGTTAAAATAACTTCGAAGCGGAAGCGAATGACGTAAAATAAAAGCCATTTATTAGTCCAAAATTAAAAAAAAAAACCTATGCAGTACATGACATTATAGTGAGAAGTCCTTCGTCTATTTATTTTAATTATTTCGTGTTGATTTTATGTGTAAAAATATATCATCGATTATAGCGTTGCTATAATCGTATAAAATATAACCTTTATTTTGAAATAGGTTTTATTTAATTGAACCTAATGCTGTTTTTTCAACAGAATAGCGCTGTTGATTATAAAACTGTTCCTATTTTTTCATAAATCGATCTACTCAACGGGGTATTATACATACAGCCTAAAAATATCTCATCACATTTTTGTTATTAAATTATACCTACAAAAAGATTTCACTGCTAATATTATGAAAATGAAGGCACACCCGAGAAATTTTACACTCAATTAAATCTTAAATGAAGCTAATATTTTCTCCTTTAAGTTTCTTCGTGGAGGCGAAGAATCATCTTAAATAAGAGAAAATATGTAAAATTATTTATTCAAAAGGAAAAATTATCTTGATTGAAATGATTAGACTTTGTTGGTATATTTATTTTCCTCATAACTGTTATTTATTATATTTTAGTACCTGGATGACCGAGATTTGCTTATTATTTCTTTGTATAATGTGATTTTCATGCGAAAAAAAATTATGCAATTAGCTGTTTCGCTAGATGACGCTGCTGTATTATTAAAACGTGGTTTTGATTCCTTTAATATTTGTCGTCTTTTTTATTTGTTCCGATTTTTATTCAAACAAAGCTGCTTTTTGTATTACAATGGTGTAATTTAGCATTGGATAAGTCTTTCAAAATTATTAGGGGTTTGGAAAGACCGTTTTTCGATTACGTTAATTATTCGTGACTTATCTAAGCTTCAAAGTACAAATTTCCATTGTCCCCTCCAACGTTGAGTTTCTAAAAGCAACCATTTAGTTGGTAGGGCAACTAAATGGTTGCTTTTAGAAACTCAACAATATGGCAGTAGTGTATATAACGAATTTAATAGGAAAACTACCACTCTTAAGTTTGCTTTACAAATTTATGTACACCAAATGTATTTAACTCGAAAATTTCGAACAACTCCTTTGAAAACAACAAACCTTTTTTGCGTTTTATAGATAAACCATTATCCATAAAAAGCGCGGTAAATCGGGTTAATTCGGTATTACTAGCCTTGCCCGGTTTTTTTTTAATAATATATTTTAGTGGAGAATTCTTCATCGGACTAAAAATTATTTATTATAATGAGACTATTAACAAGATACTTTAATACTTAAACGAGGGGCGTTAATTATGTTTGCGAAAAATCTTCTAAACTGTCGATAATTATGAATTATGAATGACATATAAATAAAAAAAATACTCGAAACGAGCTACTAACTAGTTTTATTTAAAATAGCAATTAAAATTCAAAATATTAGGGTTAAATAATAAATTGGGTGAAAACATATTGTGTAGATGAAATACAAATGATACTATTACATTTGTTTGTTTTTTTTTGCAAAGCGTATCGATTCTACTGCGCACTAAAATGAAAAGAAGAGCAACTATTCTATGAAAACATGCGCGTTATACACATAAACACCAGTAGATTGTCCATAATCGGTTCCATCTGTTGGGCAGGCCTGTGGCGCAGCGGTGGGGATGTTCATAAGTTATAAACAATGATATAAAGGTGGATACTTACCGGCAGATTGTTAATTAAGATAAGCTTAAGACTATATAACAGGCTAGTGTACACACAGTACCCTCGGACCAAGTAGGCGACATAATTTAGGTAAAAATCTTAATAAAATTAACTCTAGAAAACATTAAACTACTACATGGCCATTTGCTATTTAATGTCTGTCATAGTTTTTATTGCATCTTTTATTACTAATGAAGGGAACATGTGTTTCGTTAATCCAATTAAGGAGAAGATTCTTGTGATGTTGGGCGTCAAAGTCGGGACCGAGATCATATGTATGTTTAAACTTTATAGCCGTAGATTACTTGTTAAAGATAATGAGAGGCATGAATAAAACAGGGTCGAGTTAGTGGAATACCGCTGTTCCTCTGAGATACCGGATATAGCCATTGTTTGCAATTTTAGTAGCAGTCATATTTTTTTTAAGCATAGAGATCTACGGCATACAGCCTAATCCTCTGTTACATCGCCTTATATATACTCCATAAATATTATATTATTGTTGTATATTACTACTTCTAACAATAATATTTTAACAGGAAGTTTAAAAAAAATCGTAATGGTTCTTAATGATTTTGTTTTTTATAATGATTGTTATCTTTAATCGAGTCTTGACCTAATACTTACTTCCATATTGTGGATATATCGAGTATTTTCAATTGGAAGATAGGCTTTCGATGCGGTCGAATAACTCTAGAAAATACTCATACTATAATTTGCCATGAATAAAGACTGGACTGGACTTTAATCAGAGCCGGATTAGCCACGTAGCAAAAGTAGCAAATGCTACGAGCCCCTTCCGTTTGGGAGCCCCGCGCAATTGGGGGTCTCACTATGGTCTGACCAATAAATTAATTTCAAAATTAGTGTTATTAAATGCAAGTAATAAAGTAAACTACGCTTCTGGCTAAACTCATATCACAACTAATCTGTGACTAGTGTTTTATTTGTCAGTTTATGTTTATACTTATATTGGGAAAGCAAACGACGACTTTTTTATTTCGATAGTTGGGGGGGAAGTATATAAAAATTTGCTGCAAGCCCTGCTCTGGCCTAATTCGGCACTGACTTTAAGTCTACCCCAACTGAATCAAATGTTTGTCCTGACTGATACAGATGTAAATACAATTGATGTCCGATTGTTCGCCATAACTTTTTTGCCTTGATTACTAAGTTTTTCTTTGCATTGCATAGTACTTCTGATACGATTTTCATTTTATTTAAATACTAGTGGCCGCCAGCAACTTCTTCCGTGTTTTCCATTATTTCTTCGCTCCTAATAGTTGCAGTGTGATGTTATATAGTGTACAGCTTTCCTCCATAAGTGGTCTATTCGACACAAAAAGAATTATTCAATTCGAACCGGTAGTTCCTGAGATAAGCGCGCTCAAACAAACAAACAAACTCTTCAGCTTTATAATATTAATATAGATACATGTAGTAAAGCAATAACTTGATCCAATTGAGCAGTTTTCCAATAGGTATATCAGTTTTTCAACTAATATTATACTTCTATGTACTGCATTTTTTTTAACATTAATTTTTTTTTTATTAGCCTTCGATGGACTTTAATGGGCATATTTTGGTTTTAGGTCCGACTGATTTTTCAAACTTTATCTCGCAAAGTAAATATTTGGTCCCTATCTGTGGTCCCTATGAGTAGTTTTTCAATAGGTATGTCGATTTCTCTACCAATGTTCTAGATAGTGTTTTTTTTGTCGTATCAGCATTTTTTCGCGTTTAAAAAAAATAAAGAAAAACGTAATCAGATCAGAATTGCACCTGTGACTCCTGGGTTTCGAATCTCATAATATCCCATCAAAGTTATTCCGGAAATATTAATGGCGAAATTTATCTTCATATTATAATCTTATTTTTTCAATTAAATCTAGCTAGATGGTTTTTCTCCCTTGTAACTCTCTGCATGTCAAATTTCATGAAAATCGTTGGAGCCGTTTCCGAGATTCCAATTATATACGTATGTATATGTACAAGAATTGCTCGTTTAAATGTATTAGATAATAAATCTTTTAACAATGCATTCTAAGCGATTGTCATATTCAAATCTAATGAACTATCTTTCTCGTTTTCATTCTCGTTATTAAAAAAATGAAGCCAATAAAGACCCACACACAGAGCTTTTATCGGAGAGGGGATCAACTTGCCTGTCCTATCTTCATCTAGCTTCGTTGGCGGCGGTTAACAGCCAAATTTCCATCGTCGAAAACAGCTTACCTTTCAACGCCTATGTAACGAGCTTTATACGGAAAAATATAATGATTTTTAACGTAGTTACCTATGGGTTATGAAGTGTGCCGTGGCATTAACCAATTAAATGAAACTATCTGTATAAATATTAAACGCAATAATATTTTATTTTATAAAAGTAAAGGGGATCGACTATCCTATAATCGCACACCTCAAACTCGGTGATTACTATTACTATACTCCGTGGAGAGACGGCACACGAATAGAGTGGTGGGTGAGAGATTTGTTGTCGTTTGTACATATCATGAATGTTTGGAGATGCTGACTGGGTGCAGAAGTTGTTAGATATCACAGTTTCATGTATAACAACAAAATTTCAACCCTTAAAGAGCTTAAATGGGGTTCAGAAAAATTAGGAAGCATAAGTATCAGAATAATATGCGTATAGTAAACAAAAATTGTGTGGTAATTCTACATAACAATTTTCGAAGATGATATCAACCTTCTCCGAGTATATGATTTTTTATAGAGGTTCACTACTTATGATAACCTCCATTTGTTTTCTGTTCTAAGTTTTGTCTACTCGTTTCATTATCCTTTTTTGGAGTTGTATACTTTTAGGTATCAATCTTCAGCCTTTGCCTACTTTTGGTTTTAATATCTCTAGAGAATATGGAAAGTAAATATTCGAGTGCACAGAAACAAATTAATGAGCACATTAAGTCTGCATCAGAGTTAGTTGATTTATGCAACTATAATGCAGAGCGATATGAGTCATTATTAAAAAATCAAAAAATAAGTACTATAAATAATTCTTCTTTTTCTGATCATTCCATTATAAATGTAGTACCAAAAATTAATGAAATTACTCATAATCTCGATCAATCATCTATCTCTTATCCTATATGTACAACATATAATACATGCCCTTTCAAACCAGCATTGTCTAATGACTCAAAAAGTAGCAAAACAATAATGTTTTCTGACAAGCTGGGCCAAGGTCTTCGTTTGGCTGTCGAAAATAAGTTAGCACAAAACTTCATAAATATTTACTCTCCAGGTCAATCATTTAATAATATAGTAAAAAATCAGAGCAAAAATGAACTAGATAGTGCCACCACTTTAATTATTTTGTGTGGTATTAATCATCAATACAGGGTCATGTAAAAAGTATTGATAGCTTACTAAAATTACAATCTGAATCAAATTGTAAAATGATAATAAGCAGCTTTCCATATGTCAAAAACTACAATAAGGAACAAAACATGCGCACACATAAATTAAATTTGACATTATATAATATACTCAACTATATATTTATATATGCCTTATATACCTATTTCTTACAAATATACATATTAAATGTTTACACTAATACGAGGGTCAAACTGAAAGTTCTTAGAAAATCAAAAACTGATTACATTAGCCAGTTATTAGTTTTATTATATCTTTTCAAAATATTGTCCATTCACGTCAATACACCGCTGCATGCGATGGAACCACTGGGAAAAGCACTTTGCCCACTCGTCCTTAGGGGTCTCTTCAATGGCATCGCGATACGCAGCCACCGCTTCTTCAGCATTCATAAACCGCTTTCCTTTAAGTTTTTCTTTAATTTTTGGAAATAAATAAAAATCACAAGGCGCGAGGTCGGGGCTATACGGCGGGTGACCCAGTAATTCAACGTTTGATGTCGCCAAATAGTCGATCGTTCGCTTGGCGGTGTGCGACGAGGCGTTGTCGTGGTGAAGGAGGATCCTACTGCGAGGTCGTTTCTCTCGATCTTTTTCCAAGACAAGTGGCAAACAATTGGTAGTGTACCATTCTGCAGAAACTGTTTTTTGATCCTCTAACACAATTGTTGCAAAATGACCTATCCTTCCAAAGAACGAGGCCACCATTTTTTTTCCCGCACTTCGATCTCTCTTCACTTTAGTTGGCAACTCCTCGAAAGGAAACACCCACTGAGCAGATTGTCTTTTGGTTTTAGGATCATAACAGTAAATCCAGCTTTCGTCACCTGTTAGTATGTCGAACACAGCATTTGAGTCACCTCCGTTAAATCTTTCAATCATTTTACGACACCAATCCACACGATGGAGTTTTTGAGCCTCAGTCAAATTATGAGGTATCCACCGGGCGCAAAGCTTTCTGACCGCTAAATGTTCGTGGAGGATTTTGTGCACTTGACTCATACCGATGCCTAAGCTTGTCCGAATCTGTTGATAGGTCACTCTTTTGTCAGTATCTATCATACGCCGCACAACACAGATGTTATCTTCAGTCGTCGCCGTAGAAGGCCGTCCCTCACGTAAATCATCAGTGAGATTAGTGCGACCACGTTTAAACTCATTAAACCAGTTGTAAACAGTCGCACGAGATGGGGCTTCATCGTGAAAGGCCAATCGTAGTCTATCATAACTTTCTTGTTGACTTAAATGACATCGAAAGTCATAAAAAATCATTGCACGAAAATTTTCTCGTGTTAAATTCATGATGACGTGACACAGACAATTTTCAATTTGCCGCCAAATCGTAAAACAAATGACAAATGAATGAAATATATACTCAGTAATATTGGCAAAGAGTTATATTTTCAAATTTTAGAATTATTTTTTTATTATATTGTTTATAAGTGGCCAGTTCTAAGAACTTTCAGTTTGACCCTCGTATACATAAGTAAATTATCATAAATAATATAAAATCGCTTACTTTATTTCGATAATATACTTTGAGAGGATGTATTACTTAGATTCATGTGAGCTTGGTCGATACAATGTCTCACGATAACACAAGTTGATACGTCAATTGCCTCCACAAACTTTATTAAATGTCCATTTAAATAAGTGATAGAGTAAAAATTAACCGTTACCTTTGATTTTAAATTATCGGTATTCAGAGGTAGAAACTCTGAATTTATTTAAATTTAACAGTGTTTGTTTGTTGAAAACTTTCATTGTGAAAAGTTTCTATTTGTGTTTTTGATTAAACATGAACAAGATATTCGCTTTGAACATTTACAATTATTGTGTTGTTATTATGAAACATTTTGAATTGTTGCTTTATAATTATTAAACTTCATGCCACAGGTTTATTAAAGCTTTGTTTAACTTTTATAAAAACAAAAAGGAAACAATCAAAAAAAGTTTTATTACGCTTGGTTAAACTTAGATTGAAAATATTCAATAGAACTGTCCACCGACTGCAACGAGAATTTTTGACCATGTCATGATATAACTTGTTTTAGTTCCATTTTACATATATACATTAATCCTTAACATGATACACTCCCTTTTTGGACAGTCTTGTACAAACTTGCAATATTTTCTTCACTAATCCCAAAGGGTAGAGAATTGATCACCATTTGCCACAGTCTTGACATAGCTTAAGACGATATATGTATTATAAAGTGGGGTCGCCTTTATGAAAAATAACATTTACTATTATTTTCACTGAACTACGGCTAAGGAAAAAGGAGCCTATATGAATTGGACCGGTTTTTATATATATTTAATAAAGATACATTACCAATTACGTTAATTACCAACGACGTTAATTATTCTTCATGTATTTTAATATAATTTGAAATAAAGAAAGTGTAAACCGATTAGGAATTTCCTGAACTAATTGTCATTTTTTTTCTTATTATTGCGCCATTTTTATAACTCGTACAGTGCTATTGATAAACGAGGTTTAGCCTAGTAAATTTCCAATATTAGTATAAGTCCAAATTCATATCATACAGAGAATAAGTAAAATAAGTAAAATAAAACTTCGTGCTAGGTTAACCTTTACGAAGTTTCTCTGATACTATGAACTTTGACTTATACAATGCGCATTCTCAGCGTAAATTTACTCCAACGCTAAATCTTGTTTGAGTGTGCTGGTCTGTTGTGGTTCTGCATCAAGTGTTCCAATTCTCAAAATCAATTATATATTAAGCCTATAATATATATAATAGCCATATAGGAAAAAGACTCATCCAAATCCTTCAAGTAGTTCCAGAGATTTTGCAAATAAAAAGAGACAAACTTTTTTTAGATTCGTGTTCCATTACTGATTTTTAACTCACTCTATTGATTTTTTGTAAAGTATTATATTCATAATAATATATAATGTATTCATATCAACCGAGAGACGCCCAGTGCTGAGCATAGGCCTCCCCCAAAGATCTCCAACGGTCCTGCGTCTCCCGCATCCAGCGGCTTCCCGCGACCTTCACCAGATCGTCGGTCCACCTTGTGGGGGGGCAACCAACACTGCGTCTCCCGGTACGCGGTCGCCACTCCAAGACCTTACCGCCCCAATGGCCGTCAGTCCTGCGAGTGATGTGCCCTGCCCACTGCCACTTGATAATGTAGTACATTTAGTGTTAACTAAATGTAATAAAACCCTTATTATATCCGACTTTGTGTTTAGATTACGACAATGAGGCGACTACTAGAATAAATAGCACCGTAAACCTATATCTTTCAAATTATAAGAGGACATTCAAAGGATATTTTGTTATTCCAAGCGAAGTGAAAATAAACGGTTATTTTGCAGTATAATGTTACTTTAATAGCTTTGAGACTGCCCTATGGAACTCGAGGAAAAGTAAATATTATAGAAAGAAGAATATCGAATTATTTTGTTTGTACAGTGTTCTAAAATAGTCTCTTACTCGTGCTCTATTTTTGAATAATTCATGTTGGGTCGACCGCATTACTAAATTTCATTTATCTTTGTCATCAGAAGCTTTTTTATGTTCCCACTTGTGGAGGCATAATAATTTTTTGACCAGCCCTTGATAAAGTTGCTTAACATCCACTCACACACCAAACGCGCTAACCTGCGCCATTGATATACTCTTCGAGTTTTTTTTTTTGTTTATGTCCAGTAATTTAATATATTGATTCCCTCGACTACAACGAAAACTATGGAGAAGATAAATAAAAAGAAGGAAATCTAATCAACCAACGAAATGTGGATTTCGGAATAACCGCGAATTAGTTTTTTTTTTTTAAGAAATTAAGTTTTTGTTCATAATACATAGATATGTATTATATCTATGTATTATGAACAAATATGTATTATATCTATGTATTATAAACAAAAACTTAATTTCTTAAAATCGTAAAAAAATCATATAATGAAAATTTTCCTAGGCTGAGTATTTTTTCAAATAAAATAAGCATAATTTTATTTTGAAGAATTAAATGTAAAAACAATTGACAATCAGATGATACAAATTATATTCCACGACTGAAAAGTTCCATTTTTAAACGTATAATAACATTTCAAATATTTTTTATGTAAGTGACCTATATTCCAGAAAGATTTATAGTGCCCTGTGTATACCTGTATAACAGACTTTTTGAAAAAAGCACTTAATTACACAATTCCAAATATCATATTTTATTGATTAGTTAAACTAAACTTTTCATTGCATTACTTAACTGAATGAAAAGTCTATCTCTACAACAATATACTCGTATATCTAACCTAGGTATGCCTATTAGCGTTCAGATTACTTATTAAAACATTAAAAACAAGTATGCTTTACGCATAAAAGGGTACCCATACATATTAATTTTAATTGCTTAGTTCATATCAACACATATAAAGTATAAGTTATGTTATGAACCTAGTACATAAGCTCGTAATAGTCAAATTAGTCTCATTTATTACAAAAAACCTCCTGAGCTAGTTGTCTACTAATATTATAAGTAACTTATAGCCAGTTGCACAAACATCTATTAATGTTTTCATTAGTTTAAAGCGACATTACTCATACAAATTTGACATTCATTAGAGCTTAAAGGCGTCATTAAACCTTAATGGACGTTCGTGCAACTGACGGTAAGACACGTGGATACCGCGCTCTATATACGTCGATCTTATGAGATGCGTAACCAAAAATTTATTATCCTAAGTTCCTTCGTGTTTCGGAAGGCACGTAAAATTGGGCCCGGATGCAGCTGCAGACGTGTGTAGCCTTTCTGTCTAATAACTGTTTTAATGGTTATTTCCGCTGTTCCAGGCGAAGAAAAATTAGAAAATATTAATTTGAAGTAACCATTCGTAAATTATTAATGGTTTAATTAAGGCTATTTGAAGTAGTTATTTTTTGTAATAAATTTTGCTCTTGTAAAAATTGTTGTTTTAATTTTCTATACTCCCGAGTTAATTTTAGGACAAACATATTTATCTAATATTATTAGTTACATTAAATATTAAATTAAAATTTGATAAATAAAGTTTTATAAATAAAATCATTGTATTTGTTATTTTTTTTATATATGTAACATTGGCACAGATTTATTGATTTGGTATTTTGACATTTTAAACATCGGTTTAAAACATCGTTGCTATTAGAATTTTATAAGATGACTAGCTGACCCGGCGAACTTTGTACCGCCATATTTTATTTATCTAATCGCAACTAAAATCTTCCGGTAAAATAAACACTTG